ACACACATTGTGCATCGTTAGTTTATAAAAATAGAATCTAATTTGAAATTCTTTATATCATAGAGTATAGTACAAGGGATTACTTTATCACTATAGCCCATGATCTCTGGTTTTATGAAGTCAGAAAGAGCAAAAGAATGTACAAACAAGTTAAGGACCTTTCTACCGATTTGTTTTACCCCAAAGATTCTTATAACATTTCAAGCCGCAACAAACAAAATTTATTAACAAATGGTCGTAAAACTCCAGCGTCTTCTTCAATGGCAAAGGTAATGCAAATGCTAAGCTCTTCGATGACCACTTTATATTCTCTGATATTTGTAAAAAGTCATTGATACACCAGCCAAATGGTAAGAAAGAGACAATAATTCAGGAAAAGTGACGGAGCATATTAATGCAGAAATAAAGTTTATGCAACAAGAAAACTATGAATACAAAAATTCTCAGGGCGACTTAATTTGAATACCCATACCTTGCAATTGCCTACACTTACATAAAAAGTTTGCAACTCTATACAAGAATTCAACAAGGAAAAACAACAAATGTATTACAACTTCTAGTAGGTTTCTTGCATCTACGGAGCATATCCATATTTGCAATCACTATAGCTCGGGTCAGTTCACACCAAAATCCCTGTCAAGATGCTTGTCCGTTTGCAAGCTTCAGAACTCCATCCGAGTTAAAGAACAAAACCAGAAGAAACAGTTGAGAATACTAACAAGCATTACTTAAGATCAAAAGATTGTTGGAAAAAAAAGTGAACGAAGAGGTTAAAACCATGACATTACTCTTCTTATTAAATTCTTGGAAGTAGTCACCAGTATTCTGCCTGAGAGGAGTTTTACGATGGAAATAATATTGTGTTCATCAGACACAACGCGAATGACATTGACATATGATTGTATATCTCTCATAAAATATTTTACATTCTTAACTAGTCCACGTCACTCGTGAATTCCTCAGATTGTTTTTTAAAAAATTAACTTATGAGCTCAACAAGTAAACGTTGTGATAATTTTTTATTTTATATAAACACCACATAATAGTGCGATCTCATATCTTAGAAGCACATAATAAATTATCTCATTGCTCTCCTCAGAACATTATACCAGTTTTTCTAAATAGAATAATGTTATTTGGATCTAAAAATCTGACTTAATTTGCTGACATAATAATATGGTTTAATAAGAATCATTAGACCAACACTAAGTTTCAATGTTTGATGGGATCTATAGTCAATCCAAATGTCATAATGAATTAGGTCAGTAAATTAAGTCAAACTTTTAGGTCCAATAGTTTTGCTCTTCTAAATATATGTAAACATTGCCTATTAAATTAATTCAATAAAATATTTCGACCATGAACCAAAAATACAAGCTAGCAAACAAAAAAAGTAAGTGGGAAACAGTTTTCTTTTGAACAGTAGGTGTCTGATAAAACAAAAAAAAAAAATAGGTGGAAAAAAGTTAGGTACATTACTCCTAATTTTCAAATGTTGGTGGAATAAAATAAAAAAAATATTATTTGTACTTAAAATGTTGATTTAAAATATAAATTTGATTAATCATAATTGTTTAATAAGTAGTGGACCCTAAAAATTCTGGGACCACAATAAAATTTATAATAGTGCTTGGTCAAATTTATATTTTAAGTTTATGTAATATTATTTAATGAGTATAATATAGCTTTTGGAGGTAATGGTACACCTGATCCCCTTCGGCTGATCTTCCTGACAGTACTATAGAAGTTATAATTTTTAAAGGTCATAATTTATACTAAATTATAATTTTTAAAAGTTAAGTTACAATTCATAAAGAATAAGTTATAATTGCTTAAGAGAAGTCTATGATCGATCATGTGTATCTGTGATCGATCATGGTCCTGTTTAGCAGTTGTAATTTTTTTTTTTGGGATGTAATTGTTATAGTTGGACATATTCTTTTGAATGATGTTGTATATATTATGGATGATGAATAAATTTTTTTTAGTTATAAAATTTATTTAATTATTTTCATGATATGAATAATTTTTAAATAATAATACCGAAGAAAGAGAATTTTGAGGCAGTACAACCCAGCTCTAGCAAATTCTGCTTCAACATTGGGAGACAGTCAATTGATTGCCCCACCACCATCAATGACACGCCATAACAACCACTTCAACAATGTAAGTTAATGTTCCCTCAGTGTATGGTTGAGGTGTCTTGAAAAAGCAAATGGCTCGAGAAAAGATATGATCCTATAATCCTGCCACCTAAAAGATGAAAAACTGGAAGGAGAGTCAACAATATACATACATAATTTATTATTTTATCCTTATATGAGATTAGTGTACATATTATACAAAGGGTAAAAAAATAAAATAATTCTTTAAAAGTTAAATTGTTATGCCTTTTTCTCATTTTTCGCCCATTCTTTGGAGGAAAGTAAATTGTGGGCAGGAGAGAAAAGTCCTCACTCCAATTTTCCTTTCCATCATTCATTCATTCTTTTGATACCAAACAATGGAAAGCTTTTTCATTCACCCCATTTTCCTTCCCCTATTTTTCATCCACCCAATTTCCTTCAAACCAAACATGTTGTATATAAAAATATCGTTATTTAAATTTACTTACATGCAATGTATATCGTGCATTACTAATTATATATAAATGAAGCATTATAAATAAGGGGTGAGTGAGGAGATCTCCTCCAATACATTATCTCTCTATTTATCTTCTAAATAGATGATTTACCACAAATTTAAGTGAAAAATGTTGTACTTTTTTTTTTTGGGTTACAAGATATTCAAGTTTACGCTGATTACTCATTCGATCTCAACAGCTGACCGCTGTAGCTTGGGCTGTGAAATATTTATTTTAAAAGTGAATCTCTCATTAATTATGGTATATAACCTGACAAGAAAAATAAAACAAAAAATAAATATTGGAGATAATGTGGTGAAAGATACATATCATTGAAAAATATGAACAAAACAGCAAGAAAATATGTTTGGATTGTGTAAGAAAGAAGCATCTTTGTTTTCATGTGTTTTTAGCTTTTTGCTGACCAATTTTTGCCCATGTAAAAAGCGTCTCTGTCCCCTCCCTTCAATATCTATCTACCTGTGTTCTCTCATCTTTCAACGTCCCTTCCCTTCAATATCTATATACCAGTCCTCTCTCCTCTTTCAACGACCCTTCCCTTCAATATCTATCACCCAGTCCTCTCTCCTCTTTCAACGCCTACCATTAACTACTGTGTTATATTTGGATATCTAATTAACATTAGTGGGACTTCAAAAATTAAACTTAACTTATTAAGATATAAGAGTTAACCAATCAGATAAATACTACTATTAAATAATTAAACACTAACCTATTAATAAAGAATCCCCGTGAAAGCTCAAAAAAAAAAAAAAAAATAGAAAACTCAGTAGAAATAATGACAAGTGGCCCAATTTTATGGAAAATGTTTTGCTTACCAATTTTTTTTATCAAATCTTTCGTCACAAATGATGTGGCACAATCTCCGTCATTAAATATTAAAAATTCTTAATAAAGAAAACTGTTATTTTCTTCGTCACAAGTGTTATTTTTGAAACTATGAGGGTGTCTATCGGATTAGATGACCAGTCTCGGCCTCTACGCATTAATTGCTTTGGTTATCGTGTAATATCACGCGACTTGGAATCCCGTGGGTACACCAGTTGTTTTGTTAGATTGCGTAACGCTGCAACACATAGTATTATTAATCGGCTCGTGCTTTCATGTCCGGGTAAACACTGCTGATGTCAGCCATGACTCACCTCATATACGTCCATATTAATTTTCTTAAGATGTGTGCAACCTAATTGAGATACGGATATGGTTCGTCAACGGATAAATCTAATTTCTCCGTACCATTACCGCCCCCAAAAAAAATGCTGAGAATCATTTATAATGTCGATTAAAAAAATACAAAGTAAAAATAAAATAATAATAATTTTTAATGCATTATTTTGTAGCTCACCTTTTTATTCTTTTCTTCATGTGTTTTAGTTCACATGAATTCTGTTTTGCTATTGGATACTATTAAGTGTCATATTGAAATAATATGAATATATTTTTACATATGCGGTATGATAGTTCAACCCGTTTATAAAATTTTGATATAAAGACGACCACGCCAATTCAGATAGAGATTTAGTCGAGTGAGGGGAGATATGAGAGAAATTTTTTAGTCAATCTTTCTTCTCCAAGAAATATACAGAATTTTTGGCAGTAAGATTCCGTTAGAAAAGACTAGCCATGCTCTATACCAGTAATTCTTGTTTCAGCGGCAAGCTTATTGAGAGCCTCCAGGCTCCATCACGAATTAACCATTCACCTTCAAACACTCATTGCAATGAAACCATTAAGCCTTGAGCTCCCCAGTTCAAATACTCGCCTCGTATTCGGAATCTAAACATCTTCTCCTACAATTGAAAAATATGAAGAAAACATACTCTTATTGTTCCAGCAACATGAGGAATGATACCTTGGTACCTTTTTATAACCCATCAAACTTGGCAAGCTTGTGATGCCAAAAATCAGTCTACTTGTGTGGTTCCCTTTGTCACACACCCCTCTAACAGATTTTCTTACCCAAACCCATGTACAAAATATCCTATCCACATACATTATTTCATTCCATTCAACTTTAGATATTTTGTAATTCACTTTTTCAGGTTTTAATTTTAATAAATAGCCCATTTTAAATTTGAATAATTTGTAATTAACTCCAATAGTTAGATTTTGATTATAAAAATTGAAAAAGAATAAAAATGTCAAATTCACTTGATTTATATTTTATTAGAAAGAGATAATTACCCTCACATCCTTACATCATATCCCGTCTAAAATGGTTATCTTTTGATATGATTAGAATTGATTAATAATTGTCCCGTAGATTCTAGATCCTAGATTCTAGCTTATAAAACCCAAACCCTGACAAGCGAAAAAATTGCAGATCATATCTCGTAGATAGCCATAATCTACCACAATGGCCAATCAACACCACCACAACCATGGTCAAAACGGCCAAAAAGACACCCAAGTAGTAGTAGTAATGGTGCCACTACCAGCTCAAGGCCATCTCAACCAGCTCCTACACCTCTCCCGCCTCATCACCGCCTACAACATACCAGTCCACTACGTGACCCCCACCACCCACGGCCGCCAAGTCAAGCTTCGAGTCCAAGGTTGGGACCCTCTCGCCACCACCAACATCCACTTCCATGAATTCCCAATCCCTTCCTTTGTCTGTCCTCCGCCAGACCCTAATGCCTCCTCCCCCTACCCCTCTCAAATTTTACCATCATTTCGAGCCTCATTAAGTCTTCGAGAGCCAGTCGGTTCTCTTCTCCGATCACTCTCCGCCACAACTGAAAGAGTCATCGTTATTCATGACTCTTTAATGGCTTCCGTGGTCCAGGACGTCCCTTCAATAGCGAACGCAGAGTCTTACTGTTTTCTAAGTACGTCAGCTTTTTCTACCTCCTTATTCTCCTGGGAAGCCACAAGAGAACCTGTCTCGATTGAACCCGAAATACTGAAAGAGTCTCCAAGCTTCGAGAGCTGTTTTGTACCAGAGCTCTTGGAGTTTGCCGTAGCCCAAGATAATTACAGAGAATTCAACTCTGGAAGTCTTCATAACTCATGCAGAGTCATAGAAAATCATTACCTTGATATACTTGCAAAGAAAGAGATTATAGGATCTGTTAAGCAATGGGTTATTGGGCCATTCAATCCGGTGGAGATACCCAAAAACGAAAATTCAAACGGACCACAACACCCATGCTTGGATTGGCTTGACAAACAGCCTCCAAAATCCGTGATATTTGTGTCATTTGGAACCACCACTTCATTAACTGACGAACAAACCAAAGAGCTCGCGATTGGGTTAGAAAAAAGCGAGCAAAACTTCATCTGGGTGTTGAGAGATGCAGATAAAGGAGACATGTCTGCAGGAGAGGTAAAAAGATCTGAACTGCCAGAAGGGTTTGAAGAGAGAGTGAAAGGAAGAGGAAAGGTGCTGACAGATTGGGCACCCCAGCTAGAGATTTTGGGACATCCTTCCACAGGTGGTGCTTAAAATAAAATACAAGTTCAATTTTCACATTGATTTTGGTTTCACTTTTTCTTATATTTGATTTAATAAGGTGGTGGGTCTCAATTGGAAATAGTATTTACCCGACTAAGGCGGCATACATCCGACACCCTCTTAACTCTACAGTAACTGAAACATAAGCCCTATGCCATATTTTCTTTATATTTGATTTAATAGTTCACTTTCAATTGTATTTATATTGTGGAGAGTTTGTCATCTTTCTACAGGTGGGTTTTTGAGTCACTGTGGATGGAATTCATGCTTGGAGAGCATAAGCATGGGGGTGCCAATGGCGACTTGGCCGATGCATTCAGATCAACCGAGCAACGCTTTGTTGATAACGAAGGTGCTGAAAGTGGGTCTGGCGGTGAAGGATTGGGCTCGGAGACATGAGATTGTGAACTCATTAATGGTGGAAAATGCTGTTAAAAGATTGATGGTGTCGGCCGAAGGGGAAGAGATGAGGAAGAGGGCGGGCGAATTGGGTGGTGCTGTTCGGAAGTCGGTGGAGGAGGGCGGCCTTTCTCGCCTGGACATGGATTCTTTCATTGCTCACATCACCAGATAGTATTGTTAGTCTCAAAACCAGAGTTTTGTATAATAAGATTCTAGCTCAGATAGAGCTCTGATCAATCCATCTCATATAATATATGGATTAAGCAATTTAAATTTTCACTTTGTCAAAGGGTTAACCAATCTATCTGTGTGAAGGACTTGACTTTGGTACCAAATTTTTTTGTGGGTAATTTATCATTTGTATGAATATTTTTATAATAAAAAAATTATTATTTGTAAATATTTTTATCACTATTGTGATAATAATTTTTACCATTTTTCTTCAATACCACATAACAATGATAAAAACATCCACAAATATAGTAAATATAGTATACTACCATAAACAACCCCCAGTATAAAAAAATTACTTTTTAGTAGCATGCCTCCACATTTTGTTCAACAAAACGTAGCACAACGAAAAATTATTTTTTTTTATTATTATTTTATATTTTACAATTAATAGCTGCAAATTATTCAAACCAAAATAATTAGTTATACTTCCCTGTAGGGAATAAAAATCAGTAGCCACAAATCTTTTTGAGTTAGCACCATAACACTATTGTGATATTATCCTTCTTGCAATCGATGATGCGGTTAAAAGATTTTGAGGTAAAGAGCTTTCGGTTCTCACCCCCTCGTTGGGTCAAAGATGCGAGTGAAGCTCAAATCGATGATGCAGTCAAAAGATTCAAAGAGTGAATAGTCGCCGGTTCTCACTCCCAGTAAACTGCAACAAGAACTTATTATTATTACAGAATACTATTCCTAATCCTACTTTTTACAATGATTTAACGGACTATAATGTAAACAACTCTGGGAAGGGAATTGGATGATGAGTTTGTTACACAATCGTGGTTATCACGAGTGTCACCCGCTTCGCCATGACCACAACCCGACCAGGCTTGGGCTTGGACTTGGGCTAAGAAAATCGGAATTTTTAGGCGTGGGTACAAGTTTGTAGACTTATTTAGGCAAAAATGTACGGATAAGTTATTTTTTGTATTAAGTACAATTTTTATAAAATTTTTTGTGTTTAGGTACAAAATTAAAATGAATTAAAATCTTTTTTACTAAAACACCCTTCCTTAATTTATGCAGCCATCATTGACAGTTATTTTAAGAAACAAATATGTAAAGATTACATATTTGATATATTTAATTTTTGAATTTTGAATGAGCAGTTTTTGTGTGATATGCAGTTAACGTATGGGTTAAACTGATCTATCCAGTAGGTCAAAAAGTCTGTGCAGTTACATACACAGAGTCTTCAACCGTTTATGCATTTTGTTCAAAAAAAAAAAAACTTATGTGTTCCCGTCAATCGTTTATGCGGTAAACGTCTGGGATATACAGTAAACATCTATGTTCAACTGCAAGAGTCTTTTTTGACATTTACTGTGTTCAACTGATCTTGGCAGTAAGAGTGTTATTCAACAGCGATTTACTTCTTCGGTGGTGGATTTATTCGAAAAAAAAAGAACTGTAAATACCAATCACCGTCATCGGCTTATTGGTAAATTATTAATAATTATATTTCTTCTTTTATTTTGTCATTTTTTTTTTGGGAAATTCATATGTTCGTTTTTGTATTATGTTTGTTTGTTGTTGGAATGAATGGAAAAAAAACTGATTTGGTTTTAATGGGTGTAACTAGTTTTTTCATATAGACATAATAAGTATATTTTATTCTTTTATTCGGTCACTGATTTGGAAAATTTCTATGTTCGATTTGTTTTATGTTTGGTCGAAGTTTTTGTATTCTTTGGTGGTGGTTTCCCTTCTTTTAGAGCCATTAATGCAGTTTGAGCCATGTAAGAAATCTGAAGTGCAGGGTTGGGTCAGGAGTTCATTTCTGTTGTAACTGTCATTAATCAAAGAGCATTATCCATAGAAAAATCAATATCTCTACATTTCAAGATTCGTGGTTTCCATTTTAAATACCCTTTGTTTAACAATTGGTTGCTCGCAATTGATTATATATTACTGGCTTATTTGCATTACTCAGAAATGGCCACTCTTGTGTTGATTTATGAGGCTTGTATTTAATGGGTGTAATTGTTTTTTAATAGGTGTAACTTTTTTTTTTTGGTATAGACATTAATGAATGTTTTCGAAAAAAGGTTACTATGTCAGTGTTTGTTAATTAATTTATTATCCTCAGTTTATGAAGCAAAGATTGTTTGATGTTGTTTATTGTTTGGTTGAATGGGAAAAAAACTGTTTTTGGATAAAATATGGGTGTAACTATTTTTGAATTAGAATTACGTTTTTAGTGTAATTGTTCTTGTACGCAATTTTTTAGTTAATATCTTTTTGGCAGATCCTGTATATTGTAACTATTTTGTTGTTTTATGTTTTTCTCCCAGTATGTCACTAATTAATTCAATCATTTGAATTAAAATTTTAAAGTAACTGTTTTGTATAACTGTTATTCTTTTTTCGTTGGTTTATGATACAATGTCATTTCTTTTAATGTCTTAATCAGGAATGGAGGGAATAATATTGCTTGTATGCAAATATGATGTTGACACCTTTATTCTCAAATGTTCTGTTCGTGTAACATTCGATTTCATTTATGGTAGGCTTTGCAAAAAATGGGAGGAATTGGGGAATTTGTTTGTTGTCATGTTATATTCTATCCCAGGTCACCCAAAATGTTGTTTGAAAAATGATGAGGACTTGCGTACTATGTTTGATATAATGCGTTTGATAAATGTCAATTATGTTGAGGTCAAGGTAACTGGGCAAGATAAAGAGTCACGTGTGGTAGTTGATGATAATTTGCTTGAAGATGTTCATATTTACGATGATGATGTTGAGTTTGATGATGATTTGCTCTCTCGTTTTTGCTCACATACGAAAAAAGTATTGTTACCAATTAGGTGGTCAAATGAAATAAGACATGTAGGCCAAAAGTTTGAAGGTGGTGTCACACATTTTCGGAAAGCTCTATGCAAATACTCAATCGAGGTTGGTTTTAAGTTTAATTATGTGAGGAATTGTAGGGATATAGTTATTGTTGAGTGCACATCAAAGTATGATAAATGGTGTGGATGGCATGTCAATGTTACTATTCAGAATCTTAATGGTTTCTTTTACATACGAAAAATGAATAATGAACACACATGTGGAGTAGCATTGCGTATCACAAAGAACAAGAGATTGTCTTGCAATATGATTGCAGATTTGATTGTTGATAATGTCTGTGACCAGACGTCCACTCGTTCAGTCAATGTGGTTAGTGATTTCCTTATATCTTATGGTCTTGATGTATCTTATCAGCAAGCATGGATGGGGGTGGAAAAAGCAAAGGGTATGATGTTTGGGGATCATACGTTGTCGTACAAACAGTTACATTGGTATGTCGATGCTGCGAATAATACAAACTCCGGAAGCCATATAGTTTTGCATTGTGATAAAGAGACTAACCGTTTCCAGAGATTGTTTGTGTCCTTCAAGGCTTGCATCGAAGGTTTCAATTATTGTTGTCCAATTTTATTCAGTGATGAGACATTCATTAAAGAAAAGTACAAAGGATGCATTCTTTCAGCAATTGGGAAGGATGGTAATCAGGATATAAGTCTTTTAACTTCTTTTTGTATGTGCGTGTTGATTTTGTATTTTCTTTGTCGTATTTGGTCAATTTACTTTTTCTTAGTGTTTGTTTTTTCATAGGTACTGTATGATGTTGTTTGTATTTTCATTTTTATGCTTAATAAAAAATGGTGGTTATGCATATTTTTAAAAAAAAACTGTATACTGTAACTGTATAATGTCAATATTATGTGATACTTAAGTAGTGTAATTGTATGTGTTTACTGTTAATATTTTAATATTACAGGTTGTTGTATATTGTTGTTATGATGTGAGTTTGTAGGCTATTGTTTTAATATTTTACTTAACTATATACATTTACCTTTTTGTTTCAGGATTATACCCGCTAGCGTTTGCGATTGTTAACTCCGAAAATGAGGCAAATTGGTTATGGTTTTTACAACAACTGTCAGAGATTTTGGATCCGAATAGAGAAATTACATTTGTCTCCAATCGCAATGCTGGTTTGTTGGAAGCCATGCCAAAGATTTTTCCAAAGTGTCACCACGCTTTCTGTTTGTAGCACTTGAAGGCGAATTTGAGAGACAAGTTCAGCAGTAGTCGGTTTTCAAATGGATTTAGGGAGCACATAGTGGTGCTATTGCGTGAGTGTGCTTATGCCCCCACCATTTCACTGTTTACCCAAAAAATTGAAGCTTTTCGACGGGAGGGTGGATACATTGTGGAACATTTTTTGGATAATCTTCCATATGAGCATTTGACAAATGCATACTTTAGAGGTAGACATTATGACGAGATGCATTCTAACGCAGTGGAGTCGTTCAATTCGTGGATTATAAAAGCACGACATTTACCTATTACGAGTATGGTTGACACTATCAGGTGTCAAATTATGAATCAGATGGGTACTAGGATGCTAACTACGTGTCCATGGAATGGAATTGTATGTCCTGAGATGTATTCAAGATTAAAAGTAGCATTTGCTGAAAGCAAGTCTTGGTCTGTTAGTGTTTTGAACAATGATGTGTATGAAGTTAATTCAAATCCTTCTGTTTCAGTTGACATTCACAATGACACATGTTCATGCTTTCAATGGCAAATTAATGGATTCCCTTGTTCTCATGCAGTAGCAGCGATACGGAAGAGTGAGAGAAATATGAACGAGTTCGTTGATTATTTTTATCATGTTAGTACATGCAAGAAATTATACGCTCAACCTATACTCTCAATCCCGACTCTTGGTCGTTCGGACTTCAATGTTGACGAAGCTGAGATTTTGCCACCGTCAACAAAGAAGCAGCCGGGCCGACCCAAAAAATGTAGAATTAGGACAAGGGGAGAACTTATTAGACGAATTTGATGCGGTCATTGTCGACGGTTAGGTAGTCACAACAAGAAAACTTGTAAAGAACTATTGTGATTGGATTACTATTTTTAATTAATAAATTTGTTACTTGAATATTATTTATTTTTCAGTTGTTGTAGTCATCATTTTATGGATATGTTAATATGGAGGTTATAATATTGGTGTAACATTTTGTAAAATGTTTTTTTTTTTTGGGATGACTTAACATTGTAGCAGAACATGAATATAACAATAACTTTTGTATTATACAATTGGGTTAAAAGCAATAATAAAAGGAATGGAAACCAGTTGAATGTACTTTTAAAACTTTCTTAATATCATGTTAATGTCTAAAATCACAATTGGAAATAGTTATACCAAACTTTACTACGTGATCAACTGATATAAATTGAAGATCAACGGGATTAATGGATATTGTCAAGGGTTTATGCAGCCATGATTGACAACCATGATATTATCAAGGGTTTACCAACTGATCACTTAGTAAAGTTGAAAGAGAAGATCAACTGGTCAATTAATACACTGGCTGATAGACTCATTTAGAAATATTCCAGCTGAACTCAAACATCTTGAAGCAGCTGGAGCTTAGTTGAATTCCATTTGAAGAAAAAATCCAGTTGTAGCAACTGAATTAACTTGATTTAAGGCAGTTGAATGCGGAATGCAGCTGAAGAGTCCATCTGATTTTAAGGCAGATGAATGTAATTGTTTTTATCTTAATGAGTTTAACTGTTTCTTATGGGTGTAACTATTTTTAGTATAGACAAAATAATTATATTTCTTNGAAAGCTCTATGCAAATACTCAATCGAGGTTGGTTTTAAGTTTAATTATGTGAGGAATTGTAGGGATATAGTTATTGTTGAGTGCACATCAAAGTATGATAAATGGTGTGGATGGCATGTCAATGTTACTATTCAGAATCTTAATGGTTTCTTTTACATACGAAAAATGAATAATGAACACACATGTGGAGTAGCATTGCGTATCACAAAGAACAAGAGATTGTCTTGCAATATGATTGCAGATTTGATTGTTGATAATGTCTGTGACCAGACGTCCACTCGTTCAGTCAATGTGGTTAGTGATTTCCTTATATCTTATGGTCTTGATGTATCTTATCAGCAAGCATGGATGGGGGTGGAAAAAGCAAAGGGTATGATGTTTGGGGATCATACGTTGTCGTACAAACAGTTACATTGGTATGTCGATGCTGCGAATAATACAAACTCCGGAAGCCATATAGTTTTGCATTGTGATAAAGAGACTAACCGTTTCCAGAGATTGTTTGTGTCCTTCAAGGCTTGCATCGAAGGTTTCAATTATTGTTGTCCAATTTTATTCAGTGATGAGACATTCATTAAAGAAAAGTACAAAGGATGCATTCTTTCAGCAATTGGGAAGGATGGTAATCAGGATATAAGTCTTTTAACTTCTTTTTGTATGTGCGTGTTGATTTTGTATTTTCTTTGTCGTATTTGGTCAATTTACTTTTTCTTAGTGTTTGTTTTTTCATAGGTACTGTATGATGTTGTTTGTATTTTCATTTTTATGCTTAATAAAAAATGGTGGTTATGCATATTTTTAAAAAAAAACTGTATACTGTAACTGTATAATGTCAATATTATGTGATACTTAAGTAGTGTAATTGTATGTGTTTACTGTTAATATTTTAATATTACAGGTTGTTGTATATTGTTGTTATGATGTGAGTTTGTAGGCTATTGTTTTAATATTTTACTTAACTATATACATTTACCTTTTTGTTTCAGGATTATACCCGCTAGCGTTTGCGATTGTTAACTCCGAAAATGAGGCAAATTGGTTATGGTTTTTACAACAACTGTCAGAGATTTTGGATCCGAATAGAGAAATTACATTTGTCTCCAATCGCAATGCTGGTTTGTTGGAAGCCATGCCAAAGATTTTTCCAAAGTGTCACCACGCTTTCTGTTTGTAGCACTTGAAGGCGAATTTGAGAGACAAGTTCAGCAGTAGTCGGTTTTCAAATGGATTTAGGGAGCACATAGTGGTGCTATTGCGTGAGTGTGCTTATGCCCCCACCATTTCACTGTTTACCCAAAAAATTGAAGCTTTTCGACGGGAGGGTGGATACATTGTGGAACATTTTTTGGATAATCTTCCATATGAGCATTTGACAAATGCATACTTTAGAGGTAGACATTATGACGAGATGCATTCTAACGCAGTGGAGTCGTTCAATTCGTGGATTATAAAAGCACGACATTTACCTATTACGAGTATGGTTGACACTATCAGGTGTCAAATTATGAATCAGATGGGTACTAGGATGCTAACTACGTGTCCATGGAATGGAATTGTATGTCCTGAGATGTATTCAAGATTAAAAGTAGCATTTGCTGAAAGCAAGTCTTGGTCTGTTAGTGTTTTGAACAATGATGTGTATGAAGTTAATTCAAATCCTTCTGTTTCAGTTGACATTCACAATGACACATGTTCATGCTTTCAATGGCAAATTAATGGATTCCCTTGTTCTCATGCAGTAGCAGCGATACGGAAGAGTGAGAGAAATATGAACGAGTTCGTTGATTATTTTTATCATGTTAGTACATGCAAGAAATTATACGCTCAACCTATACTCTCAATCCCGACTCTTGGTCGTTCGGACTTCAATGTTGACGAAGCTGAGATTTTGCCACCGTCAACAAAGAAGCAGCCGGGCCGACCCAAAAAATGTAGAATTAGGACAAGGGGAGAACTTATTAGACGAATTTGATGCGGTCATTGTCGACGGTTAGGTAGTCACAACAAGAAAACTTGTAAAGAACTATTGTGATTGGATTACTATTTTTAATTAATAAATTTGTTACTTGAATATTATTTATTTTTCAGTTGTTGTAGTCATCATTTTATGGATATGTTAATATGGAGGTTATAATATTGGTGTAACATTTTGTAAAATGTTTTTTTTTTTTGGGATGACTTAACATTGTAGCAGAACATGAATATAACAATAACTTTTGTATTATACAATTGGGTTAAAAGCAATAATAAAAGGAATGGAAACCAGTTGAATGTACTTTTAAAACTTTCTTAATATCATGTTAATGTCTAAAATCACAATTGGAAATAGTTATACCAAACTTTACTACGTGATCAACTGATATAAATTGAAGATCAACGGGATTAATGGATATTGTCAAGGGTTTATGCAGCCATGATTGACAACCATGATATTATCAAGGGTTTACCAACTGATCACTTAGTAAAGTTGAAAGAGAAGATCAACTGGTCAATTAATACACTGGCTGATAGACTCATTTAGAAATATTCCAGCTGAACTCAAACATCTTGAAGCAGCTGGAGCTTAGTTGAATTCCATTTGAAGAAAAAATCCAGTTGTAGCAACTGAATTAACTTGATTTAAGGCAGTTGAATGCGGAATGCAGCTGAAGAGTCCATCTGATTTTAAGGCAGATGAATGTAATTGTTTTTATCTTAATGAGTTTAACTGTTTCTTATGGGTGTAACTATTTTTAGTATAGACAAAATAATTATATTTCTTCTTTTATTCGATCATTTTTTTTTGGGGGAAATTTATATGTTCAATTTTGTGTATGTTTGGTCGTTGTTGGAATGAATGGGAAAAAAAACTGTTTTTGGGTTTAATGAGTGTAATTGTTTTTAAAAGTGGTGTAACTATTTTTTCATATTGACATTAATGTACGTTTTCAAAAAAAAAATAGTTCAAGATGAAGCAAAGGAGACCAGCTGAAACTAGTTGAACAAGCTAGATAGCAACCGAAGGAGAAGCAGATGTCAGCTAAAATAATCAGCATATAGGGAAACCAGCTGAACAGTGACGTGAACAGTGGGATTTTTTGTCTGCTGCAAATTGAAGAACATTCCAGCCGGTACGAATTCCTGATGAGTTCATTTGCGTGCAAACTTACATGTTCGAATAGCTGTTTTATCTATAACCCTTTTTCTGGACAAACAATCATACACAACCCATATTCAACCCACAACAATCAACCACAACCCATGTTCAAATAGCTGCTCCATATGAAATGATGAATTGACAGACCTTTCAGAAAATAAATCTTCTTTGGGTGTAGATGATTGTGCCCTTATATTCAACCCATACCCAGTTCTACAAGCCTATTTTAAGAATGACTAATAGGATTTTTCAGAAATAATTGGCAGTGAGATTAGGAAAATTGTTACAAAGCATAATGGGGTGAGCAAGTAGGTTAAAGAAACTATATCCTTGAAAAGACATTTAGGTCTAAAGGGGTCAAGCTCCAAGCACAAAGTTGTTTACAGTTACAAGTATCTTCTCTTCTCTCTGTTATAACTCGATTCAATTAATCAAAGTCATTTTAGCTTGCTCAAGCTCACTTGGCTAAGTATTTCATCCTGATCAATCTTTTTTCCACCTTCCATTGTGGTCAAGGATGGACTTGATTGAGTAATATGTCTCTCACTTTAGCAAAATAACTACTTTTTTTTTAAGAAAAGAGAGAAATGTATATTAAAGGAGTAAATTACAAGAAGCAAAATGCAAAGCATAAACAAAATACAAGTCCAAGATTGGCTATAAGCCTAAAAAATAGAGAAAATGCTCCATAGAGCAGAGAGGGCCCAACAGCCATCTAGAGAAAAGAGTTGTCTGAAATTCAGCTGAAAATCCAGCTGAAACAAATTAGAACCAGTTGAAAGGTCAGCAAAACCAGAAGAACCAAGGAAGAGAGCATCTAGCAAGAGCCAGCTAAAAGGATCCACAGCACATCCAGCAGTACTAGCTGACAACCGCAAAACCATTAGCAGCAGATAGAGATCAGCTGAGGGAGCAGCTAAACAAAACAGTTGAAGACCAGCAGATCAGAAGAAAAGCTAGCTGAAAATAGTTGAATACCAGCTGAGAAGCAGCATAGAAACAACAGCCAAGAAACATCAGTAAAAACCAAAAGGAGAAGCTTATATGGAGGCGGCAGTAGCAACAAACAACCTGTTCGAGTGAACTGTCATGTGAACAGTCACAAGAACAGTACACAAACAACACAAAAAAGAGAAAAACAAACAGAAAAAGAAAGAGGATCCTTTATCACATCACATCACCATTCCTGCTAACCAAGACCACTGCAGCAGCAAACCAGCACCACCCATGACCAGAAGTAGTCTGATGAAGAAGATAAAGGCCAACAAGAGTTGGCTTTAACCTGTCAACAGAATGAAAATGAAGACTGAAACAGGTAAAATCCTCCTCTAATGTGCATGATATTGATCTAGCACTCTCTAGTGTAAAAGTCAACTCCTTATAAATTCGAACAATCAACCCTCTAATTTTTTATTGAATTATTAATTTACTAGAAATCATATCCAAAAGCACTTGAGAGTCTGATCAACAGTTACATGAATCAGTATCGCCAACTAAACAGTAGCGCCAAATGATTACACCTAACATATTATCCAAACTGCTTAAAACAAGAGACCACATGAAAAAATAATTTCATTTTTTAACAACATATCAACACTTTATTTCATTGCTCAAAAATAGAATTACAAATAAGAAAAGGCAGACACTATCAGGTTTCTCTTTTCTACTGCAGCTAGAATTTTGTTTTTTTTTGAGTTACTGTTCACACCACTGTTTCAGCTGGACTGTTCTGATATGTTTTTTTGGACTGTTTTAGCTGGATTGTTTTTTTGGACTGGAGTTTTTTCCTGAGTTACTGTTCACGTAACTGTTTCAGCTAGACTGTTCTTCACTGATTTGTTGGTTTATTTACTGGACTGTTTTTGACTTTTTTTTCAACTGTTATGGACAATTTTTAGACTATTTTTTTTGAATGTTTAATTGACTATTTCAGTTCATGGTGGCTCATTGTAACATTGCACTGCATATGTTTGTAGACAGAAGATTTCTCACAGGCTAAAAAAAATGCTACACAAACAGTTACATCAAATAGTTAGAACAAATTAATGTGTCATATTTCATCATGAATATATTCACAAACTACTAGAAAGCATTCGAGGCAACCAATGTTTTATCATATGATTTTGGAATTTCATATGATAAACAAAATCCATTACATACACCAAACAAATTGTTCATTTACTGATCCCCAAAAAATGCAACAACATCTCAAATATGACTATTCATATAATTCCTTCAATTTCATCCTTTCATGGAAATCATTTAGTGTCCAAGAATTTGAATGGTTTAAGAAAATTTTCATCATTTCTGTCCAAAAATCTTTCACTTGTGCAGTTGTCAACTTTTCTTCTATGTCTTCGTCCTTTGCAAGTTGTCTCATTATATAGCAAATGAAAAGTCCACAATCGACCCTGCAATATATGCTTTGTTATTATCATTTCTTTGAATATGTATGAATTCAAGTTACAAAGTAATACGTACAAATTTGCTCTTTGTTGTAAACTTTTCTCACATGATGTCATTGGAAGAATATTGTCTGAGGGGTCAATGTCAATTCTATCGGCCGCTTGCATTTCAATAATTTTCTGTTCAACATAATCTTTCTGTATTTTTTCAATGATAGATATTAGTGATGGATATGATATTGCAATATATATATATATAAGGATTTCAGTTATTTTTTACCAATATTCTTGCATCCTCCGACCACACGTCCCTCCTTACTCTTCGTGGTTTCATAGAATTGTAGTGTGTCCAAGATCCAGAATCAGTATCCAATACTAAGACTGTCCAATGCCAAGGTTCCACAAGGTTGTTTTGACCATTTGAATTAATGGGAAATACAAAGAATTGACGATCTCTTCCCAAAATGAGGTTTTTGTCAATTTGTTCTTTGCATAAATCCATGTTTTTTGTAACAAATGTCTACAAATATTTCATTTTATAGACAATTAAAATGAAATATACCGATACTGAAATAAAAAAAAAACATGTTATTAAATTTTTATGTACCCAACATAGACTGTTGAAGAAGAAAAAACATTTTTTATATGTTGACTGTTCGTTGTTTGCATCAAGTTCATGCACCATATCTTCTCAACAATCTATAATCTGTTACAATGTATAACACAACATCCAAAACAGAGTGAGTAAGGTTTTCCAAATAATTCATATGTGGACTTAATAGTTACACATACAGACCAATGTTGTAGCATGGACAAACAAATTAGATATTTATTTTATAAATTTGATACAAGATGCAAAGTATACTTGCAACTATCAAACAGATTATAGGAAAACATTGTAAGTTGTACAATACTGTGATGTGTACAAATATACAATTAAGTGTAATACTTACACTATTGTATAGTGCACATCCTCCCATTAGTTTTAATGCGTCTTCAACATTTATGTAGCTTCCAATTGAAACACCAGACCAAATGGGTGTCCTACATGATCATATCACAGTCATATAAGGTAAGATCATATTTTTGTATAAAAGTACAGTGAGTAAACCCACGGATTTTAACGAAATAACAATAGTGTAATACATAAATGTTATAGTATATAATATACTTACGTAGGTCCTTCTGTATCATTGATTTGTTTTAATTGATCATAGATAGACGAATTTGATTTTTGACAACTCTTCCACAACCTTGCAAATTCCTTATCGTGTCTCTCTTTTTCTTTCGCTGCAATGATCTTTTCTGCTTCATCCGCAAGGGTGATAATTGAATGTGAAGCCTCAATGTGTCCCTTGTCCTTTTTCTTATTGCTATACTCGTAATCCTCATATCTTTTTCTTTTCCTTTCTTTATTCTTCAACTTTCGGACCATTGATGTTTGACCAATATTTGCACTATCAGTAAGCTTGGTGGTTTGCATCATCTGAGTGATGTTGTGCACTGTCAACTCGTTTATTTGATCTATTAATTCTACATTTTCAGCTTCTAAATTTTGACATTCTCTTTTAATGTCACATTTTTTGCCTCAATTATGATTTTTTCACTATGCATTGTATGAACCAATGTCTCAAGCTGCATGATTTTTGTGACTCTATCCGATGGAATGTCTTGTTGCACTTCAGCTTGCAACAAAATAGTTAACCAATACTGTAAACAATAACCAAAAACAGTTACATCACAAAGTTACATACAAAACAGTTGCACCATAGAGTTACATCATATTATTTTGTCAACAGTTACCACAAAACAAACCATTAGGAATAACAAATAGTTAATCACAATATGTACCAAAAGGATTTCGCCACATAGCTAACTATCTGGAAAAAAAAAAAAAAAACTTACATCCAACAGGTACCAAAATTGTTGAACCATACAGTTACCATGTTAAACCAAAAATAGTTACACAAAAAAACATTGCTGAAATAGTTACACAAGCATAAGTACCAAATAGATGAACTTAATAGATAACTAAATATAAATAAACAGTTATAACAAACAGGTATAATATAGTTACACACAACAAGAATCACAAAATTCTACAACAAATTCCCATATAGCTACAATAAGAAAAGGTGTGAATACTAAACAAAGATATGTTGTTTTAANACAACAAATTCCCATATAGCTACAGCAAGAAAAGGTGTGAATACTAAACAAAGATATGTTGTTTTAACAGTTAATTTTATATATACCTTGTGATGCACCATGTCAATAGTGTCTTGCAATCGTCTTTTCAACGCTTCATTCTCATTGGACAACTCGACAATCTTTTCTTGGTTGAATTTATCCTTTATCATCAACTCAGAAACAATTCTTTGAGCTTCATCTCTCTCTTTCTCTCTCTTTTAATGTTGTCATTTTCATTGTCATTCTAGACAACATGTTCTATTGATTGCCTTTCTATTGGTTGGGTAACATTCACTTCAACTAAGTCAACCAATTTTCTCTTTTCATTTGAACATTCATTATCACCACTTGATGGCTTGTCAACACCATTTTCTCATGTGTCAAGTTGTTCATTGTCATCTAACTCATTCTCCATTGTTTTTTTCGCCCTTTTTTCTGCATTCTTCTTTGATGAGATAAACATCCTTTCTTCCTTAGTTCTCTTCAATTTTTGCTTCATAATCTAAGTGTAAAATAAATGTAATTAACAAATAGTTACATAGTAACCTTTTTAAAAATAGTTACAAGTTATAGGGATAACTATATATGAATTGAGACTTACATCATTTGCCATGATATTTGTCAAACATTTTTGCTTGATTGCCGTATTCAAACTTGGTAAGTTCCATTTCAAGAACCGAGGAAATGCCTTTTCAATGCTGGGAGTCATCATGGAGGTGTGTTCACACAGCCAATACTGCAACATACAAGATTACGATAATCAGATCATATTGGGTTATAGCAAAGTAATTTCAATTCTCAAATTAACATATTACTTTTATTAAAACACTAACTGGTATTAGGAGGACGCATCCATTGATAGCCGTCGGCGTTTCCTTCTTCTTCTTCAAGGATGAAAGCAGTGTATTAGTTATAGGTTCAGACCAATTGTATTTTCTACATTCATCCAACTTTTCAATATATGGTACAAACCCCTAACTCATTGTGTTTTCCGTTACTGGGAAAAAAAGTGTTGCCAACAGATACATACATAATAATCTAGCCAAGTCATCATAACCAGTCTCACTGTCCAATTCGGACACTTGTTTCAGCTTGCTTCTCATCAATGTTGCTGTCAACCTCTGATCTTTTTTGAACCAACATTCAGTAAATGGTGTAAATGATTTTCCATGTATTGTACAATCAATCTTTTCACACCCATCTTGTATCCCAAATATTAGAGTCACATCATTAGGCCGCAACCTTAGTTTTTTGCTTCCGATATTGAATCTTGAAGTATCAGAATTGAAACATAATAGTATTTCAAGAATGCAGCTGTCACTTTTACAGCACCATGTTTTGTCCATAGTTTGGTCAATTATACATTCAAAAAGCAACTAGAGCGGAGTCTTTTGCAACACTGTCTTGTGATACTCATTTAACTGAAGTTCTTCAATTGCCCTGATAATGGTAAGCATATTTGATCTGTATTGAGGCTTGTACCTTGCACCAGTGATGTATAATTCACTTTGATTTTTATTTATATCCACATTTGTCTCTGTAGCTTGTGATTCGTGATGTGGAATTTCTTTGCTACACCTTATAGTAGGACTTTTTTTTTAAGATTGTTTTTTCGTCATGACCTGTTTAATGCATCAATTACGTTAGGGGTTTACAAACTACAATTATATATGGTGCATTTATATTACTCTAACCATTAGTCCACACATTAGTAATTGTTTAATTCGTTAGAATGGGATTTCACCTAAATTTTTATGTGCATTATAAAACAATTGCACATAGTAACTATTTTTAGGGTCACAAGTATTGAGTATGAATCAAAGTAATCTAACAGATTCTCAACATAGTTACAACCAACAGAGCTACTCAACAGATATTTAATACAGTTACCAATAACATATAAAAGAATGGAATACTTAAAATAACAAAATAGTACTCAATACAATTACAAAAATTCAATCCATG